CTATAGACATTTACAACGTAAATGCGCCACCCACCTCGAGATATAAGTTCTAAGATCTCAATATAGTTACAACGGCTACCCCACCCTTCGAACCGAAACGCATTACTGCTTCACGGCGGAAATAGGCGGGGTGGTGGTACCTACCCGTGCGGACTCCCAAGAGGTCCTACCACCAGTCCATAACCCTGGAAAAGACATTTATATTTATCATACAAATATCTTCCCTTGGCGGGATTCGAACCCGCGACCACCTTGTGTAGTGACCATGTTTTTTTTTTTTTTTATTGCTTAGTTGAGTGGACGAGCTCACAGCCCACCTGGTGTTAAGTGGTTACTGGAGCCCATATACATCTACAACGTAAATGCGCCACCCACTTTGAGATATAAGTTCTAAGGTCTCAATTATATCACTTACCACTACACCAGACAGCCGTTATGAATGAATTATCTTTGAGGGTTGTTAATTTTTGAATAATCTACCTAGCGTGGGTAGATTACGTCATTGAATGATATAAAAGATAAATGCCCTTATTACCCTTAACGCGAGATTAAAGTCCTAATCGCAACTACAGCTCGTACCTGTAACCCTCCAAGCCACAACGTCCGATTGAGATGCCTTAGAAATAAATAGATGGGATGCTAGTATTCTACTATATCTTATATCAAGGATATCACTAGTAAAAACAGTACATTATGTGTTTTTATAAAATGTTACTTGGGTGATTTTGGCAATAAATAAATTACTTATGAAGGAAAATAAAATGGACGCTATCTTAAAGCACAGTTCCTCTCTAATGGGGTTTTGAATGAAGTTTCCTGTCGATAATGTGTAGGTAATTAATCATCTGACTGTATTTGATGGATGACAGCGCCGGGAGATGGTAAACAAACTCAGGGAATATTTTAATAAGCTCCGAGATTACTTTCGCGGTAAATATTCTCAGGTTTTTTTTTTCTTTAGTATGGCGATGACTCGGTTTTGTTATATGCGAATATAATGTTGGTGGGTTATTAGTGAAATGAAATGAAATCAAAGAATAGTTTAATATAAAAAAAAAGCATGAACGTTTGTTCGCGCCAAAGTTTGTGTCATCCGTATTTCAAAAAACAAACTAATATTCTTGTTTTTTTTTTTTTTAGAGATTTTATGACCTGGTAACTAAGACCTTTAAGTCATGTCTTATTTTAATTTATATTATTCATATTTTTATGTAAAATGATATTAAGGAGTGAAATGAAATGAAGATGATTAATTTGAGACACTAATCAACTGGGATGAAATTAAATGAAATGAGATGAGATGATATGGGATGAAATGTAATCTCAGTAAAATGGTGGTCATTTACTAAGATTTTTTCAGTGGACTTTTTGGAGGATCCCGAGAAGTTACGTCCGGCGGCTTTGTTTCATTTTTCCACATTTGTGCACTTTCACAGATATTAAGCAGTTAATAAACCACCATTAGTACACATTTAAACTTGAAGAAACACTAAATAGACAAAATAAAACAAATCACACAACTTCACTCCTCGCGTTCCCGCCAAAAAGTCTCCCAAACTAATATTCAATAGAGATATTTCATAAATTATAAAACCACTTCGCCATTGCACTCAGGCACGCACGCACGCTGGTGTTAAGTGGTTACTGGAGCCCATAGACATCTACAACGTAAATGCGCCACCCGCCTTGAAATAAAAGTTCTAAGGTCTCAGTATAGTTACAACGGCTGCCCCGCCCTTCAAACCGAAACGCATTACTGCTTCACGGCAGAAATAGGCAGGGCGGTGGTACCTACCCGTGTGGACACACAAGAGGTCCTACCACCAGCAAAAATAAAAACAGAGAAGGAAGACATGTTTGATTTTTCAGTTCGTAGAAATTTTTATGGCGTTTTATCATTAAAGGAAGCTTTTCAAAGTTCGGTGCTTGATTGAACCGCCCGTTCCGAGTTATATTAACATGGGTTTTAAGTAGCTGGAAAAAAAAGGGCTTTTAGGGAATTGAATCTTTAAGAATCGCGCTATATCTGAAGAACCGTGAAAAATTGCGAGATAAAACGCATAAAACATTTCGCTTCAACTTTCAAATCTTATAATTATACATTGAAGATCTAAATCCTGTTTTCTAGACTCTTCGATTTATTTCTAAGATGCGCTCTTCTTTTTAATAGATGAATACGAGAATACAATTTTAAATTATATGTATAATGTAGACACATTTTTACGACGCCCGTAGGTCAATTTTAATTGAATTAATTCTCTCAAAAAGTCTTTTTTACTGCTTAGGAGGGTAGACGAGCTCAGGGCCCACCTGATGTGAAGTGGTTGTCGGAGCCCATAGACATCTACAACGTGCCGCCACTTACCTTAAGATATGAGTTCTAAGGTCTCAGTTTAGTATAACTTACATTTACATGTGTATTTTCTTTTTGTTGTCTGATTGTTTGTTGATTGTCAATTGCCTTGTACTTATGTTATTAAGTTGGACCGTGTCGTCCTTTCAAAAAAGGGTGCGTGTAGTTATGTACGCGCGTAAAAAGTTATACTTTATTTTTATTAAATTTGTTTCTTTTTTTGTTATTTAAATTTTAATCAATTTGAAAAAAAATCGATTAAACAACATCCTCAAACACGCATATTGGACATCCGTTTTCTTGACATCGTATAAATTCGGTAATTCTCGGTGCGGTTCGGAAAGTTCACCTGCGGCTATATTCAGACTCACCAAGTTACGTCGGTCGTATTGTAATGAGCGATTTAGTGGGCAACTTCATTCTGTTAATTTTGTGTCACGGTGCGCGCGCATTGTAAAATTTCACTCTCATCAATTTTTCATAACGCGCCTAAAGAAGCATAACTTCAATAAATTGCAGTTTAAAAAATGGTTTCGAAATTTCTCACTATAAGTATCGTATAAATCATTAATTAATTCCTTAATATTAAGTTTGAGTTTCAATGTTTGTTGTTAATCTGGAGCTTAATACTCATATTTATTGAATACTAGTTGACCCGGCAGCCTTCGTAGTGCCCCAATCGATAAATAAAAGACCTAAACTTTTGTATAAAATAAACTTAAAACAAACAAAAGGAATCCGTCCGACGGGGAATACATTAAAGGAAAAACAAAATTGTTATTTTCATTTAATACCGGGAATTTTCATATTTATCTACCTTTTAGACCTTCTCTGGACTTCCAGGAATAGTTCAAGACCAAAATTAGCCAAATCGGTCCAGCCGTTCTCGAGTTTTAGCGAGACTAACGAACAGCAATTATTTTTTATATATGTATATAAGATAGATTCCTATAACTATATTGTACATAACATAATTGTGTTGTTTTTATGAGTCGGAACATAGTCAAGTATCAGAGCCGTGATCAATACCGTCTTTACCATAAGGGCACACGGGGCCCGTGCCCAGGGCCCCCATTCTCAGGGGCCCCCCTAAGAACCGAAATTTTCTCTCACACATTTATTCGGTTTCCGTTATCGTAATCGTAACCAAAAAACCAGCAGCATTCTAATATCATTAATGACATATTATATCATACCGTATTTGATTACCTATAATAAATGGTCTCATACTCAGTAAAAAAATATTATTATAATTCGCTTTTTTTACTTTCCAAAAGGGCCTCAAATTCTTGTGTGCCCAGGGCCCCAGCCTAATTTAAGACGTCCCTGGCCGTGATATGAGATATGTAGTTAATAAAAACATATTTGAACCGAACTATTCACCAACAATTTTTCGTGAAACCTTAACAAATAGTCTTTGTAAAGACGCTGATCTCATGGCTTCTCCATCACAATACCGTTTGTTATTCTGAATTGGTGCTCATTTTATCGGTTCTCTTCTATTCGAAACGACCCCACTAAATTCGTATTGTCACCGAGATTAACTCGCCAACATTGTGTGGACTCTTGTTGACACAATCTTCCATATTTTTCCTGCTTTATTCTATTTGATATGATCTATAAGCTACGTGACGTTGTATATGCCGATCCAATCTTATATATGTTGATTTTGTACGTTATTATATGTATATGTTCCTTAGATAATTGTAGTTAGGTTAAATTTTAGCTTATGGGATAGGGAAAGCACGAGCATAATCGTAATGCAACAATTAAATGTTAATTAGGGTAGTTTTGCGGTCTACTGACACCGTCACACCCTTTGAAAGTTTGCGACGAAGTAAATAGGTTCCAAGGCGTTCCAATTCGTTGAGAATTAAAGCCTTTGTGCGATTTATGTTGGGACACACTTGTAAATAAGTATTTGTGTAATTGTGTTTGTCTTGAAATCAAGGGTAGCGGTAGCTATCATAGATTAGATAATGCGGACAAAACTTGAATCACGCAAACGATATTTAAAAGATAAGCTGGCAGACAAAACAGAATAGCTGTCTCCACACTGCGTGCTCAGTGCGTTTTCAATATCAACTACAGGTGCTCTCGCAATCTCGCAGATCGAATAAAATTTTGATCTGTTGAGTAATAGTATCTGCTCGATTTTAATGCTTCTAGAATTACAAGGCCGCATTTTTTTATTGTCCTTGTAGGCGAGCATACGGCCCACCTGATGGTGAGTGGTTACCGTCGCCCATGGACTTCAGCAATGCCAGGGCAGAGCTAAGCCGCTGCCTACTGCTTAATACTCTCCACAAGCCACGTTTGATGAAGGACATGTCATAACGCTCGGGAAACACCGTGGAGGGGAGCTCATTCCAAAGTCGAATGGTACATGGCAAAAAAGTCTGGAAACGCACTGTGGATGACCGCAGTGGCTCTAGGTAGTATGGATGAACTCTACTCCGGTGGCGGGCGGTGCGGTGGTAAAAACGAGATGCCGGTATCATCTCGAACAATTCCTCAGAGCACTCCCCATAAGCATAAAATGAAAATAATTTAAAAATTAGAAATTGAGTTTAATAGTAACAATCTTATTTTTAACTTGAAAAAAAAACAGCCTTCACGAGTGTGTGTTGAGAGTATTTCGGTACTTCTACGCTGAATTCTGAAAAAAAAAGGCAATTAATTTAATTTATTTCAGTTTTATTTGTTATCATTCTAACAATCAGATTGTGATAAAAAACTTCAAACAATAAAAATGTATCACTAAGCACTATAAATTTTTTATTACGATTTTGTACACTCTTTGTTATCCAACGTATCTATAATTATCTATAGTATTTCGTTAGTGTGTTTTTCCTCAATGTATTTCTAAGTAGTTCATTTGATTATTATGTGACTTGGTACAGCTTAGGGCCTGCGCACACCACGTTTTTTAAACGCGCTGTCGACGCGCGTTTGTAGCTATACAGACGCGATACGCACGCAAGTCAAACGCAGCCTGTAGACCTTTGCACACCTGTATAAATTCAAATACGCGTTTGAATCCATACAGACGCGATGCTAATGCGCGTTTGTATCGATACACATGCGCGTTGGCATCGCGTTTGTATCGATACAAACGACAACGAACCACTTTGTAGGATAAAAGCGCGCCGTCGACGCGCTTTTGTAGCGCTACAAACGCGATACGCACATAAGTAAGAAGAAACCTGTAGACCTTTGCACACCTGTATAAATTCAAATACGCGTTTGAAACCATACAGACGCGATGCTAACGCGCGTTTTGTATCGATACAAACGACAACAAACCGCTCTGTAGAATAAAAGCGCGTTTATAAAACGTGGTGTGCACAGGCCCTTATAGTTGATACCGGCAGATTACTATCATAGAACCATCAACGCAGTGTAGGTTACGCGTGAGTAATTTCAAGTAATGGTTATATTACAAACACTAATCGTTGGTCAATGTAGAGCGTGGCCGGTTTCCCTGTGGCTTTATGAATGACTTCGATATTTCTTTTTCAGTTCGCAAAATAGTGTAGGTATTAATTATTGTTACGCCGGCAAGAGCAACATCATATATCGTCGAATAGCAAAAAGGAATATCAAAAGTACTATTAAAATCGAGAACGCTCGAAAAGTACAACCCCGTCTATTGTCAAATAGCGGAAACTCATATCGAAACTACTCGACTTGTCGGGAACGTTTTCGATAATTCTAGGGATGTCGTATCGACTATAAAAGCGTTTCGGAGATGATACGGAGTTAGTTAATAAGCGGAATTACTCGAAGCGAAACACGGAACGGATCACCTGAAGCGAAGCGGAAGAAGTGAATTACGGAATTGTTAAGTGTTCTTTAAGTTTTTTAATGTTTAATACAGCTTTAATTTGTAATTCGATGAATGTTTTTTTTTTTATTAAAAAAATCACATTTTATGTGATTCGATTTAAATTAATATCATTGTCCCCACCCTGTATGTTAGATAGACAATTGATAGCAAAATGTTAATGTTTAGTCTCTTTCAAAATATTACCTTTGCCTCCGAATTCAATGTAAATGTCCTTGGTGGTTGTGGAGTTTTGTAATGCTTCTCGTAGATACTGTTCCAGAAGGAGAACTTTTTCTTGATCAGTGGTCCTCGTAGCTCGATGTTTTTTCCCACGGATAAGTGTGGCGATCCGTACTTGTTCACATTGGGCCAAGAAGGTACTGGTGAGCTATCGAGAACTGGGTTACTACAAAATTAAAAACAGATATTATGTTATGTTAAATGGCGACAGGCTATATGGAGGATCTCTACTCTACAAATACAATAAAAAAGGTTTTGATTATTTCAAGTTGGTTTGTGAATATTATGTGAAAATATATGAATGTATCACGAATGAATGGAAAATGTACTACGCTTATCTAATTTATAAACTTGTCCTAAATTTTTAATAATAACCTTCTTTTAACAAATTTTAAATTCACTTACTTTGTTTTAATGAAATTGATCCACGCCTGCCTCAATAGTCTTTTGATATTTATGTATTCTTGTGAAAATCCATCATCTGTTTCATCACGGACAGCTCTGGTCTGTCTGCAATGGGTTGCACCTTGGAATTTTGAATCATCTTCGTAATACGAATACTCATATAAATATATATTAGTATCACCAGCGGCTATTTGTAACTGAATATTTCTCAACATTGAATAAACAAACAGAGTATCTGTTTGAAAGTCAACGAAATTCATATCCATGTTACTATCTATTGGTTTATTACCGAAGTAAAATTTCTTAACAGCTTCTGCGATCTCTTTCATTTCATCTACACTTTCAAATTTAAGGTCTCCAGGTAAGAATGCACTGAAATCTTCATTCATTAGATCAATCCACGGGTTAAAGTCGCCTAAAGACATCAACCCTTCCTTATTGGTTAGACCATACATTGTCGGGTAGCGGGTAAAATTACCACTTTTAAGAATGTTGTACGGTGCGTCATGTAAAAAAACCTCTTGCCCAACATCCTTTTCAATGCATGGCGCATATTCAACTAGTCCATCTGGTCTTTTTATATTGGGCCTAGTAAGAATAGTTTCTACAGAAATATTTAAGAAAAAGTTTTCTAGCTGTTCCAAACTATTGAAATTAGTAAAATTAAAATTTTGGGCTATTTGCTTTGAGTTTGCAATTGGATCGAATTGAACTGTAAACGATCCAAGATTAGAGCCACTGTCAGGTATAGCCCTATTGAATAGACCTTCGGACATTTTTGATACAAGCAATAAGTCAACAGAAGAACCGCCTGCACTACATCCAGTTATTGTTACGTCATTGGGATCACCACCGAAAGTAGCGATATTCCGTTTTACCCAGCGAAGGGCTGTAATTTGATCCTTCATACCGGCATTGCCGGGAATTTTCTCAGTGCCCAAACATAAGAACCCAAGTAGCCCAATACGGTAGTTAAAAGTGACCACTATAACGTTGTTTAACGCTGCGAAGTCTGTGAATCTATGAGCATTGCCCAACCCGGAATAATAGGCCCCGCCGTGAATATCTACCATCACTGGTAGATTCTCTTGTTCAGTATCAGGAACGAATATATTCATAACTAAACAATCTTCTTGCATTATTTTATCTGATAGATCCACGTAAACTACTTCAGCTTGAGGACATATTATTCCTTTCTTTACGGCTTCGAAGGTTTCCGTCCACGGTTCTGGTGATACTGCTGGCTGTAGAATAATTAATTACGTTACTTGTCACAGGTTTCATTGAAATAATAATAAAACAAAAATCTTTGATTTCGAGACATCATATATTTATTTATTTATTTATAACTTCATATACTAGAAAGTATAAAGGCGGACTTAATGCCATAGGCATTCTCTTATAGTCTACCTTAGGGAAGTGCAGAGATGAACCTTGGTAGGTGTAGTGTGAAGGTGATATTACTTAAGCATATGTTAAGTATAACATACATAATATTTATAGATACAAATACATATACATATCATAAATATATACATATAAAAACATATATACACAAATATTATCAATTAGATGACTCTGCTAACTCTCTGAGAAAGTTTTCGAACCTTCGTCTTAAACGCTTCACGTGTGGTGGCTGACCTTATTTTGAGTGGGAGCCCATTCCGTAGAATAATAGACTGTATAGTGAATGAATAATGTAAAAAGTCAGAACTATGTGGAGAACAGCGAAGAAGAAGATTATGAGATGAACGAAGATCTCGGCTGTGGTCAGACTCTAAGTATTGAAAGGAAGTAGTTAAATAAGCAGGTGGATTTGGGGAGTGCAACAAAGAGTAAAGAGTACTGAGAGCACGAAAGCTACGGCGTTGACGAATGGGGAGCCATTTGAGTTGGGAGCGATAAGAAAATACGTGATCGTATTTCCGAAGATTATAAATAAATGGAATGCAGTTATTGAGAAGCCGGTTAAGTTTATTGAGTATATCTGCATTCAGGTCAAAGTAGCACACATCACCATAGTCGATCATGGGGAAGACCAAAGTTTGAACGAGCATTGTCTTGGTCTCGAGCGGAAGGAAATTCTTCAGGCGGTAAAGCATATGGAGTGTAAGTGTAACTCGCTGACACACGGAGATGACCTGGGCTCGCCAACTCAGGCTGGAGTCAATAAGTAGTGTCTGGAGTCAGTAAGTAGAATCATATATCATAGTGTGGTAGTATGACTACATAGTATAAAACAAAGTCGCTTTCTCTGTCCCTATATCCCTATGTATGCTTAAATCTTTAAAACTACGCAACAGATTTTGATGCGCATGTAGAACATGCAACTTGATGAGCCTACCCAGGGTCGGTCCATCCAGCCTTTCTGCTAATACCCTCAAGACGTTGTTGATGCTTCCTCCTACTGTACGCATAATGGATGCTACGTTTTTGAGCATTCTCGTTAAATAGTCATCAGTGTGTGCATTGGCAAACATACCTGATGCACTACAATAGACTGAAAGTCTCAACAACACCCTGATCAAGATGCAGTATGGCTGATAACTAATGAACACGCGAGTAGTAAAATCCAATATCGATAAATTTACAAAGATGCGATGTTAAATATTATCTCTCAGCTTTACCTGAAACCTCTCCTTGATTGTCGCAAAAGGTATCTCATAGAATGAGTAGAAGCCGTCACCTTCATATTTATAGCCACGTACTGGTCCTTGCTCTATATTGACTACCCTAGATACATTCTTTGAGACAACTGCCACGATAACACAAAAAATTACCAACGAACTTTTCAGAAACATTGTGTTTATAAAAATAACTAACACCATTATATTTCTACCACTATTTATAGTATTATATCGAGATTACAACAATTACCGCAATCATTATCAGTTCATCTAGATTTAAGATTATTTATATTAAAATTAATAGTCCAATATAAGAATGGCTTTATTTGTTATTGCGTTGTAAACAATTTAATGATATTTTTGATAAAGTTTATTAGCTAAATAAAGTAAACTTAGCGTCTCCTGACTGTTGGAACGAGGGTCGTGGGTTCGATTTCACATCACGCAGACAATCATGTGATAAACAGGTTTGTTAGCTCTTTGTCTGGGTGTTTATTATCTATTAAAGAAAAAACTTTATACCCCTTTTTACGGAAATTGCGGGGACGGAGAAGTATGAAATTTCCCACACTTATAGAGAATTTAAAATAGGAGTGCAGAACGGTAATTTTTTTTTAAATTATGGCCCCATAGCACACACCGTCCATTGTTGTCGTTTGACCAGCGGTGTACTCGAAAAAAAATCCACGATGACTCCTCCAGCGTGAACAGCGCACTATGCAGTCACTTTGAGCGGGTGTAATGGCTTCTCGTGTATCACTCGTGGATTTTCTGTACCCCGGAAGCGATAGTTCTGCTTGTTTACGTACCCGCTGAGGTGGAAACGAGCCTCATCGCTCAATATGATTTTGGTCGAAAAATCGTCCACTTCGTCCTCAAGATTGAGGATGGTCTGGGCGTAGGGCCGCGTAGGTTACACGCGTTTGGCGGTCGAAAACCAGCAGCTGATGCACGGACTGCACTTAGTACAGGAACATGCGCAGGTCTTTGACCAAAATTCGCCTTAGGGACGACCGGCTGATGGCTAATTGCGAGGCACGAATTGTTACGCAAAAAAATAGACACGATTATTCCGCGTTCTTGGGGAGTGTCCAGCTCCATGGGTTGTTCACTTGTATTCTACACCTGTCCAGTCCACAAATGTCAAAACAGATTTGACATTGGCGGCCATTTGCAAAAATAAGAGCATCTTCCAATAGGGTGATTTCTTTTGGCCCACCTTGTACAAGCTGTCAGAGTGAATTATCAAATTAGGAAGTTATCCATAATTATGAATATTAATTAAATTAATATGATATCTAATCGTAAATGTGATGCTTTAATCATCTTTACTATTAGCGAAAACACCTGTTATTGTTTTTATTATACCCATTTTGTTTTGAATGTGAATTTGTCAATTTTTACACTAATAAACTAATTATAAATATTGTTGCTATGGGGCAATGCGGCCGATGTAGAAATGATATTTATTCTGCAGAAAAGAGCTATACGTGCTATTTATAACATGCACTCAAGGGAATTCCTGAGGGAAAAATTTAAAGAAATTAAAGTACTCACTATGCCATCCTAGTACATTTTTTAAAATTTGATGTATGTTCGTAAACATATTGAGGAGTTTCCTAAAAAGTCTGATATACTGGTGGTAGGACCTCTTGGGAGTCCGCACGGGTAAGTACCACCACTCGCCTATTTCCGCCGTGAAGCAGTAATGCGTTTCGGTTCGAAGGGTGGGGTAGCCGTTGTAACTATACTGAGATCTTAGAACTTATATCTCGAGGCGGGTGGCGCATTTACGTTGTAGATGTCTATGGGCTCCAGTAACCACTTAACACCAGGTGGGCTGTGAGCTCGTCAATCCACCTAAGCAATAAAAAAATATAGCTTACACATCAGAATTGTTATTCAATATGTTTGTATGTTTATAGGCTATCTATACTAATATATAAATCTACAGTGGTTTTTACGGATGTTTTATTATAACTACTGAACCGTGCATCCGATTGACTTGAAACTTGGTATTCATGTAGAAAATACATGTACTTAATGTATAGGCTAATATTTATATGAGTGTTGGACTCCCTACACCAGTTGCGGGGACGTTAATGATGAGAATCTTTTTGGGGGTGAGAAATAATTATATTAATTTTAAATGCCCAGCGAAGCGGACGGGTACAGCTAGTAATTTATAAAGAAATGTGGGTATTACCAAAAATATAATGATACGTGTCAATTAGGAAGGAAAAAGTCCGCCATCTTTATGCTATTTTGGCGTGTATCGCAAAAGCCGTTGAAGTTACATGCATACAATGTAAAATGGAAATATTTATCTTAAATAGTCCTACAAAAAAGTCCACGACAGAATATATCTCTTTTATTTATAAGCCATTATCGCCAAAATAGACAACAATGCATATATAAGAAGAGGAAAGATTAGGTTTTTTGTTTGTTACTATCAGGACCAGACAGATATGTTTAATAAAAAAATCAACAAGATGAATAATAAATTACCTATAGTTCCCGAAGCGAAGCGAGAATGGGTCGCTAGTTTACAATATACATATTTGTTAAGTTTAGCTTTCATTCGATGCTCAGATATTATTTATTTATTGTCTTTATTACACTTCTTGTAAAATTTACATTGACGGACTTAATGCCTAAAGCATTCTCTACCAGCCAAGCAA